TATATATATCGACTGTGAAAACCAAATTTGAATTACACACAGAACAAAGCAAGAATATCAATAACTTACGGACAGTGATGGAAGAGGTACACCAGTGAAGCATCATTTGATGCAGATTTAAACTGTCAGCATGTGGCTTTTTTTCTATCTACGTGGGCACATTACTGAGTCATTAGAATGTTCGCTTTAAGACCATGAGATACAGGTTCTAATCTCACCATGGTCGATTTGTCAGGAAGGTAACTTTTTGATGTTATTGGTCTGAGATAGGCACCTTTTGGAAAGGGTCTGAAAAACTATACCACAGGTGGACTCAACCCTTGTGAGTGAAAATTTGGTAGACGGAACTATTTTGGAAGCCGTCAATGACTGTGACGAAATCACGAGTCAGCATGACCATATTCAGTCTGTTGATCATGCACTCTCTCCCCGAAACTGTAACTAAGGTCCGCTCAACATAGTTGCTGTGTAAACCACAGGTGGAAAAAAAACGTTGAACAAATAAAAATGCTTTAGTAAAAAATTGAAACAGTGATTAGCCACCCTAGTAGACAGGCATACTAGAATACGAGTGGCCAGCCATATATATATATATAAGTACAGGTAATAGATCCGTTGGTATATAATCCAGGTGGATCATAGTAATATCAAGTATTAAAACCAATGCACAAAGAGAGCACAATGTATTTATTATAACAGAGAATATATATATAATCGACTCTCCCGTCGAGATTCGACGTATGAGGGTCAAGCAGATCAGTTTCCAGGAAACCGACAGCCCAACACCGGCACATGAGATTTGATTATAGTGGTGAAGGCTTCGTGCAGGACCATCCACACTTTTTGAAGGGACGAATACAGAGACCCCAAACGACCCTCCACAGGTTTTGAATTCAGAGTTGTCCTTCTCCTAGACCAGTTGCCATCCAAGGCTATAGAACCCAGTCTGTCCTGCTATTTTACCCATAGCTGGAGGGAGAAGAAGAGGATTCATACCTTTCCCAAGGGTATGATCACGTAAGTGAATGTAATGGATTCGACTGGAATTCGAACTCAGCTCTGCGATTCCTCAATCCAAGCCGTTATCCATTACTCCACCGTGCTATATATATTATAATATAATATATATATAGCCTTTAAAGTTACAAATGGATAATTTATTCTAACTTTTGTTTTATCTTTAAATCCCCCCATTCCTTAATAATAAAAACCCCTTAAATCTACTATTTCTTTATATTGTTTAAATACAATTTATTATATAAGAGAGAGTAAAGATAATAAATCTGCTGGTATATAATCCAAGTATATCCTGGTAATATTAAAACTGACCCACAAAAAGAGTTCAATGTATTTATTATAATAGAGCATATAAATTACACAACAAAATCCAAAATTACCTCATATGGAGGGTGGGGGGGTATAAATTTATTTCTTCCCTGTAATGTTAATACATTCAACCCTCCCCCTACCACTGACTCAAGCATTTCATCTGGCTGAAACATCGAAATGGATAAATTTTATATCAATTTTTCGACTGCTGTCAAAGTTAAATTTTAAATTTCTATATTCGACATGAACACAGTCTATACACCAGGGTTGAATAAGACTAATGTATTTCTCGTTGATTGAAATAGATCTATACCCCCCACCATATGAGGTAATTTTGGATTTTGTTGTGTAATATATATATTATTTAACATATTTTCTGTTTATACGTTATTTTTAATAGATACAATTTATTTAAATGCTCTGTTTTTTGGTTTTTTAAAAAAAAAACAAAAAACAGAGCATTTAAATAAATTGTATCTATTAAAAATAAAACAGTTAATGTTAAACAGTTAATGTTAGAGAAATTTCGTAGAAAATATGCATTCTCCAATAGGAATCGAACCTGTCCCTTATACGGAACTGTCACTTGATTTGACGTTCTATATCACTTTGCTAACCAGACGCTGCTTTATAGTTAAGTCCAAATTAATGTTAAACAACAAATCGATTATCTTTCCCCAACAATCATACCTGCTCACGAAATGTATTTTAACATAAACAATGACAACATATAATGAAATGGATTAAGTCTGACAATTATTTAATATTTTCTATTTATACATTATTTTTTAATATATACAATTTATTTAAGTAAATGCTCTGTCTTTTAAATAAACAGTATTAAAGATCATCGAAGATTTGTTGTTTAAAAACATTAATTTGGACTTGGCTATAGAGAAGCGTCTAATTAGCAAAGTGGTATAGCACATCAGATCAAATGACGGTTCCATATAGGACAAGGTTTGATTCCTGATAGAGAATGCATATTTTCTACGAAATTTCTCGAACATTCAGGCCAGTAAATGTAACCATACGGGCCTTACCCAGTAGTTGGCTTACATTTATTTTGTCCATTCTCAAAGATGCTTGCAGTATTTGTTTCACATGGTTCGGCAGTTCCGCCAGAAAAGCACATGCCAAAACTCCTTTGATATTCAACCAAACAGTGAAGCAAGCTTTCATAAGTCTGCAAGATATGCATCGACGGACTTGTTGTGGGCCGGTGTATGCGTTGAGAGATAAACATGTGCATCTACTGAAATGCCCATAACAAACATGGCAGACTCGGGATATGAGTCCATGTAAAGAAATGTAAAGAAACAACAAGCACCAATATATGTGTGTATAAACAAATGAAATGTATTAACAAGAAAAGGGTTGCAAAGTGACAATGTTTGTAACAAATGAATGTGGAAACGTTTTGGTCCAAAGTGTGTGTGTGTGTGTGTGTGTGCTTTGTTCATGCATTTCCCGAAAGGGGGAATGCAATCTTCCGCGAGAGATTTACATGTTGTCGTATAAGTGGAAGAGTAAGAAGAGAGTGCAAATAATTATCACAGAGTATTTATAATACTGGAAAATGTCTCCAAGGTGCAGTTTCAAAAATTAGGAAGAGTTAACCTGATAATACATTAGCAAGAAAGGTATACATTTTAATTAGTTTTTGTTTTTTTTTTAAGCAAGGGAGCTAATTCATCAATAATCATATTGGTGGATGTGACAGACTCTCCAGAGCGTAGATGATGAGTGATGAACTGTTTGTAGGCCAGAAATTTCTCTGTTGAAAAGTCCACTTCTACTCCAACAGTTTCTTTTCCTGTTTGTGGAACTCTCTTCCATTTATTTGATTCCCTGATAACTACAATCTTCAAAAATTTAAATGCAACATCAATTGCCATTTTCTATCTTGAATCTCGTTCACCTTTTTGATCTCAGTTATTGTTCCTCAATCCTCCCTATACTCAGTCTTTTTCTCTCACTTTCACTGTAAACCCTATACTACTATAACCTTTTATTTGTAACCCCTTGTGTACTAGTAACATTTCCACTTTGTTTGGGATGAAAAGATTTAAAAAAAAAAACTTGGTCGTTCTCTCTTTATTTAAGCTTTGCTAAGCTGTTGATAAATGGCAAAGGCACCGGCGCCAAAACACAATGGAAGAATATGTTCCAGACTTTTAATCCCTGCAAACTCTGCAAGAAAAGCTCTGCCTTTTCAAGCCATTCAAGTAAATATACCATCGAATTCAGGAATCAGTTTCAAGTCAAACGACTTCTCTGCTATATCTTAAATGCCGAAATATGTTGTATAATAAAAATTCACAAAGTCCAAATCTTCATGCACATATACACAGTCTCCTTGCAAAAAATCTGTCCTGATAGGAAAAGTCAGTTGCTTTTATAGCAGTTTGTTGAACCCTTTCCATGTTTACTATTCATCGAACATAGAAATGGATTACATTACAGATTAAATAAAGCTTTCTATTCAATCCCTGGGTGGGACATTGTGTACATGGACTCAGTAGAAATAGGCAAGCAATAACTGAACAGTACTACAAAAACTAGACATGGGCAGGGGAATGAGAACAGTATATCCTGATAGATTAAATAAAGGGTTCCATTCAGAATGCCCTGGAGGTTACTGTATAATAAGTCCAAATCTTCATGCACATATACAGTCTCCTTGCAAAAAATCTGTCCTGGTAAGAAAAGTCAGTTGCTTTTATAGCAGTTTGTTAGGCCCTTTCCAGGTTTTCTATTCATGGAGGAATGGAAATGGATTAACATATTTTTTATGCAATCCATTCCATGCAGTGAAACTTGAATCATGATTGGTTAGCAGAAGCTAATTTACATGAAATTGCTGACCTCATTCAATAGTGAAGCATTTTTCTTTTCTTTTTCTGAGACGCGAAAATGTGTTGGCCTTTGCCATAAGTCACCATTTTCTTCTGTACACGTCTTCATAAAGAAACATTTGGCATTCACTGACTGTGAGCAATCAGTTCTGCTTTCGGTTCAAAATTACGAAATTTTTCTATTAAAATGATTTTTCAGAAGAATAGGTTTCTCGAGTCTCGTAGCTGTTATGGGCCTTTCTGGTATTGATGTGGGTTTCCTTCCTAGCCTTTTGTTTGAAGTAGTGTGGAAAGTCAACATTTTGATTATATCTTTATTTTCTCTCCAAATTAGATAGATTACATTGTAAAGGTAATTGAAAATATTAGCCATTTCCCTATAAGGAAACATTCAGCATTCATTGACCGAGCAGTCAGTGCTACTTTCAGTTGAAATTTAAGAAATCTTCGTATATTAAAACATTTTTTCAGGAAAATAAGTCTCTCAACTCCAGTAGCTGTTAATGTTTTTGAGGGGGGGGGGCCTTCCTTGCCTTTTCTTTGGGGTAGTGTTGACATACTGATTATGTCATTATTATCTCTTTGAGTTATATATGCTATCCATTTTAGTTGTTACTGCTGTTGGTAGTCCTCAGGTAATGTGGTTTCTGGTACAGTTCTTTGTTTTTGATTTGGTAACGTCTGACCACGAGATTTGAGGAATAGTGGTCATCACTGAGAGTGACATGTTTCACTTGCTCAGAACCATTTTTAACCATTGAACTGATATAATCTGTATATACGTAATAATGTTTTTTTTTAATTTATTTCTAGCATCTGGTGATCTGAAGCATTTCCATGAAGGCCGTGAACCATTCGATGCTAAACATGGTTATGACTGCAACCTGTTCACATCAGAAACCCGTCCCAAATGTGTCAGAGACCTTTACCTAAGTGCAGAGGTGTCACCATCCGTGGGTCTCAGTAGTCTTGATGGGATAAGGAAGGATGGCTGGAGTGGGTCAACTATGTTCAAGTTGTGGCCTGTTGTTATCAAGGACATCAATATTTCAACCCCTGATTTCAACATGTCCAGAAAGGTAAGAATGATTTTGTTTTCTTTTATCATGACAAGTAGAACCAATGGAAAATCCCAAAGATCCAGATTTTAATTTGAGAAAAGAATAAAGTATTGGCAAAGATGGACCTTTGTGCCTGTAAAAAGAAACAGTGTGTCAAAAGAACGTTTTTTTTCATTGACATCACTATTATTTTAACTATCTCCACTCCTCGGCAATGTTTGTTTTAAAAAGCGATGATTAGAATTGTAATAAAACTTAAACATATGATGAAAGTGAACTTATATATTTTTTGTCTTTGAAAATTTATGGCAAAAATATTAAACACTATTTATTAGATTGTTTATTTACAAAATTAATTTTATATTTACAACATTCTAAAAATTAATACAATTAAAACTAATGCAATACAATATTTATCATTCACCAATTTATAAAGAAATAAATATGAAAACAATTTTTTATCCATAAATTTATAAACATTCACTAAATTATTAAAATATTTGAACCAACTATAAGAAAGTCCTTATTATTTACTATTTTATAAAATTTGAATCAATTGGCAATTAGCTGATGTTTTGCCAGCAATTCTAATAAACAAGCTAATAAAGTTTATTGTTTTTGTTGTTGATTCTTACAAAGAAATGTATAAATTTCATATGTTCAGTTTCTTTTACTATTTTAGCCATCACTTTTAAAACAAAAAACATTACTGAGGTGTACAAGTAGTTACAATAATAGTCGTGTCAATGAAAAAAATCAGTCCTTATGACACTCTTTTTAGCTCCAAGTTTACCAAATATTTTCTAAGTTTTAAGTTCACACAGTCAGATACGGCACAAGGCCGAATTTAATGTGAGGTACCCAAGCCCATAGACTTGGCCAAAAATTACCCGAAGACCCCATATAAAACAAAGTCAGGTAGCTGCTTCCCGAGATGAGACTCTGCTCTTCAACATACCCTCATCTGGTGATCCTCTCTACCTGGAAGCCAAGAGTTTGACCAGCACAGATGGAGACAAATCTTCGACTGCAGACCAACATACAGTATTTACTACTGTATTTATGGGGATGGAGGCATACCCATTATCATCCATAGGTATGCTACAACACACAACATTTCAGCCGATCTGTCCTCCAGCCTTTTTCAGTTGTCTGTCAATCCTGGGAACCGTCAGGAAACCAATGCTTAAACCACAAGGTATAATGGAATAAAATGTTGATTCATGAATTTCAAGATAGTAATTGTGACTTCAATCCCTCAGCTCAACTATTTATATATGTTGGAAAGTAAGGCATTATGGGTAGAAAGGTATTTTTGGTTTATTGTGACCTGACTTTGCTTCATTGACCAGCATATAAAGTCAAGCTACCACAAAATGCACATGTCCTATAGATTGTGTTCAAATGTGAAACAAACTGTCACCACTTGATGTTGACTTCAATTTACACACGCATTATCTCTGACATTGAGTACTGTTACCCATAAATATAACATACTTTAAAAATATATTTTTAACATATAAGTGCTGATTAAAAAGTATCAGGACATGTGCTATAAAAATAAAACTACAACATATATCAATTCAGTATTTCATCTCTTTCAAAGTATTCCCCTTCTGAAACCAAGCACTTTGTTCAGTGTTGTTTCCATTGATAGAAGCATTTCTTGAACTTTATTTTTGGGATAGTCAGCAACTGCCACATCACATTCTCTTGGATTTCCTCAGCATCTTGTAACCTTGCTCCTTTTAAGTGGGATTTGATGTTTTGGAAAAAGTCACAAGAGGCAAGATCTCTGGAATATCATAGTAGTTAAAACTAGGTAATGTTGTAATTGGCCAAAAACTGCTGCACAAGACTGATGGATTTCAATTAACATGTTTCTATAAATAATAGTATTAGACATATTTACTTAAAATGATTATTGTTAGAAATTCAAGAAAATTTTATACTTTGACGTTTTATTAATCTTTTGTCATATTTGTTTTCAATAGTAATTTATTAGGGTTTAGGATTCAGTAAGCAGATTTGTTTGCTGAGAAAAAAGTACTCCTTCTATTGCAAGCAATTCCATATGAAATCACTGAACAATGGTGTGTTTGAATTTTGTAGTTGTGTTGTCATATCCTGCTATAGCAACATAAAATCTCAGTTGATAGCAACAATTAAATAACTGTACTTGAGCTTGGAAGAAGAATTATTATTCATAAATAATGCCAAGAGTTAAAGGTTAAACTTAATTTTGCATAGTTTTTATCCTTTTGCTGATCATAAAAAGCATCCATAATTTGGTATTCTTAGTTGAACCATACAACAACAATGACAGGAATTCACGTCATCTGCAGTTGATCCACTGAACAGCATTAACAGAAATTCCCGTTGTTAGTAGCAGTTCATTGATTAATAAGATAAGGTTACAGTTTGTGCTGTGAACTTAGTTTAAAAACATATTTTTGAAGATGAAAATTAAACAAAGCTCTGCCTTGTAAAATCTTTGAAATGTATGATTATGCACAACTTTAAAGATGACCTTCTTGATGTATGATTTCAGTGTTACTCTTATGAAAATGCTAGGCGTGTGACTAAACGTCGCATACCTGTAGCCCTTGAGGTGAGTGAAATGCACGTGAAAAAGGCAGGAAATATCCAAAACTTTTTTTTTTTTCGTATTCTTGTGTTACTTTCTGTTCCTCAATTTTTCATTTGGTGAGACATTCTTACCATATTGTGTTTGTCACAAGCCAAATTGTCTATGCCTGTAAATCCCAAGTATCATGTTTTGTCAACCTCCTTTCTTAACTTTCCTTCTATCCTGCATTATCTTTATAAGATTTCAATTAGACCGGGGGTTCTCAACCTTTTTTTTGCATCATCATCCTCTTTCACATGGAAAAATTGCCTACCTGTATAACATTCAAAAGCATCCCCTCTTTCACAGGTGGGATGTGGTGAATCTCTCACTGCTCTATCACTATTACCATGGAAAGTGCTCCAATGAACTGCATCTCCTGGTTCCATTAGGTCTGACCTTCCACTTAGTAGCAAATCACTCACATTCCCTCTAGCGAGAAGTTACGCTGAAACACCTTCCCTGTCCTGGGTATGGCAATAAACTATATCTGACAGCAATTTCTCTGATCAGGAGGTTTTGAGAAGCATGGAACCACCTCTTAAATGGTGTTGTTCCCAGGTCTACTCTGACTCATGGTGGTAGCATCTGTTAGGGTCCCAGCTATGGGCAAATAGTTAACCCCCAAACTGGGTTAAAAAAATTTGAAAGTGTAAAAATAGGTTTTAATACCAACAATACATCTTTGGAAAAAAATATTAGCAGCAATAAAAATCTTGTTGGCATTAAATATCCCATTGAGGTTGATATGCCATAAACCAAACCATCCTGTGAACCACTACCTTATGGAACAGACTCTTAAAAGGCTGTTTCTCCGATCTCTACAATCTTAACCTGTTCAACTCTAGAGTCAACCGTTATCTTCCTCCACTATCTATATAAACTACCCCTTAAGATAACCCTCTACCGTGAGTGGCCCCTGGGCTTTGCACAGGGTGAATCTTAGAGTATAAAAAATAAATACCAAAATTTTTTGCTAAAAGTTTGTTACTGGTTCATACACTGACATTGTGATGCAGTAAAAAATACCAAAGGGAGGTAACAAATAATGCTGACTTATGCAGCGGCTGCTGCTACTGCTACAGTATTAATGAAGAAACGAAAGCAATCTTGACCATTGAAAATTATTTATGGTCAAGGTTAGTATTATGGTTAGTGTTGATAAAAAATTAAATGAATTTCATTCATAATTATAAAATTAAAAAGAATATACATGACTAGCAACTAACAAAAATTCAGTGACTATTTCTTTGTTTGCTACTTCATCACAAATGTTCAGATGAGCTTCATTCTTTAGCTCCACTAGTTTAGGCTTCTGGCTATATCATATTGAAACACTGGTTCTCATACGTTCACCAAAGTTAAGCAACATTGAGCCTGGTCAGTAACTAGATGAGTGACCACTTGGAAATACCAGGTGTTGGAAGTGTGAGTGGTGTAATGGATAATAGCTCCGAATTAGAAACTGGAGAGCCACTTGAGTTTGTTATATTCACTTATAAAGAAATATCACTTGGAAAGGTATAAATCCATCTCTCCCATCTCCTGCTATGGGTTAATTGGTAGATTTTATATCAGTAAATCATTATTATGTCCAAAAAATTCTTACAATCTAAAAATATTTTCTGGCTTTAATTAATCAGCAAAAGTAATAAAAAAAAAAATCAACCCGTCAATCTACCAATTCAGACTTTTAGACCTTGAACACACCATTCCACGGAACTGAATCATCCTCATTTCCCCAAATATGCAAAATGTAAGTAGAAAGTTCTACTCAGACAACTTTTACCCCAAAACTGCCACTTTGGGGAACAGGCTCCCACATGAGTGCTTCCCTGAACACTACAACCCTAGCCTCTTTAAGGGTCAATTACTATCTATCCTCATAATCTTCACTTTCTACCACATCATCTTTCATTCATATCACACCTCATTCATCATTACCACTTTCATAATAACTTTTGACTTTGAATGATTCTCATGACTTGGACTGAACTAATTTTTGTATATAAAAAATTCAATCACTTCTACTCCCTGTGCTCTACAAATATCAAAATCATTTAGAAATTGTTTGTTATCGTAAACTGAGAAAAAGAAAATGGACAACTCTGCTGGTTATACTGCATATTTAATTTTTTAAGTTTTAAATTATATTATTTCTAAAAAAATATCTTTGTTTAAATCTTTGAGCCTGAGTGGTCAGTGTACCGGCTGTTGTGTGAAAGTTTATATCACAACAAGTAAACTGCCAAGAGTTATGTGTGTTTTATTTACATTCAGATGAATGTCCTCATCTTGCATGCTATTATTACAACAACAATCATCCTGCTCTTTGACTTTCCAAATGTCTTTCAGTTTGGGTAACTTTCAAGAAATTTCAAACTGAACCCTTTATTTAATCTAGACAGTGGATTGTTCTCATTCTGTTGTCTATGTCTTGGGATATTATGCCTTGTTCTTTTTTTTTTTTAGTTCAGCTCAGTTTCCACTGAATTTAAGTATGTACTAGCCAGCTGAATTTCAGGTGAATCCATTACATTAACTTACGTGCTAATACCCTTGGGAAAGGTATCAATCCTCCTTTTCTCCCTCTAGCTATGGGTAAATAGCAGGACAGACTGTGTTCTATAGCCTTGGATGGCAACTGGTCTACCACAGAAAGAAATGGCAACCTGCTGCAGGAAAAAAATCTGACTCGTCAGTCATGTATCGAAAGATATGTGATCGCCTAAGCGTGTATCACGTATGGCACATAAGTGACTGACCTACTATGCAGCCATAGTGTTCATGAGTTCTATCCCTGGGTTGGCTAGTGAAGACTTAGTGGTAATAGGGTGACTAATAATTGAGCTGTACTCAAAAAAAGTACAAGACAAAATATCCCTAGATATGGACAATGAAATAAAAACCCTACAACTCCTTTTCTACAAAAGAAATCGTCATAAGCATCTTGCTGCTTTATTTCTATTTTCATGGTATGCGTTCTGATGAGCTACATTCCTGAGGCCCACCATACCCTGATCTTTATAACTGGGACCCACCATGCCTTGTATAGTAAGAAATAAGTTCCATTCAGACAGCTTCTTCCCAAGAACTGCTGCTTTGTGGAACAGACTCCCAGCAAGATGTTTTCCCCAGCACTGCAATCTTGACCTCTTCAAATCTGAGGTTAACCATTATATTTCCTGTATACCCTCATGGACTTCACTTCTTGCCTTTATGCTCATACAACACCACAGAGTAACCCACTACCTTGAGTAGCTCTTTGGCCTTGTATTTGGTGAACATTAGTACGTATGCATGTATATATATGTGTGTATATATGTAAGATGAGAATGAATAGAGTACAATTCCAACATTTGTAACTTTTAATTTAAAAGAGGACTCAATACAAAGTAGAGCAATATTATTTATTTTAGGATATTATATTGAAAATATGTAAAAATCACCATGTCTTCAGCATAATATCCTAATATATATATATATATATATATATATATATATATATATATATATATATATTTATTCAAATCTGAGGATGCCAGTCTACTAGGACAGCTAGCTAATCCTAATTGCAGACGCCTGCTCAGGCACGTTTGTGTTTACTCAACACCCACAGAGCCCACCCGTGGTTTATACAGCAACAATGCTGAGTGGACCTTAGTTACTATTTTGTAGGAAATAGTGCATTATCTAGCATGATTAACACTCTGAACAAGGCTAACACACAAAAAAATACCCTCGGTCACGATGACTTGTGATTTCATGCTAGCCCAACCACAATTGCTCTCAAGAGTCCCATCAACCCAATTTCACTCACAAGTCTGTAGATTAGAGTTCAATTTGAAATTCCCTGAAGGTTACCCAGATCAATAAAGATGAGGAGGAGGAGGACATTGAAACAATAATAACAACAGCAACAAAAACACTGTAACAATGATAAAAACACCAACAACATTGTAACAATAATAGCAACAGCAACAATAATAACAACAACAACAACATTGTAACAATGATAAAAACAACAACATTGAAAAAATAATAACAATAGCAACAACAACATTGTAACAATAACAACAACAATAAAGGCATTAGTTTGAATGTAAATAATAAATTATTATGTGAGAAATTCAACAGAAATTATGCATGCTTATATTTGACATCAACATTATAATTTGACCAAGGACATTTCAACCAACTGCACATGTTTTATCTGATGTTAGGATGCTTCTATCTGAATGAAGATCAGGCCGCAAATAGAGTACTGCTGCCATATATGGGCAGAAGCTACACAGTCTTGACTTTCCAGTTTTGATAGTCTAAAAGCATCCTTGTGGATGATGAATTATTTTCCACCATACAAGCCCTTTCTCATAGATGAAATGTCACAAATTTCTCACAGCTCTATCACTATTCTAGTTTCATCAGTTCTAACCTTCACAGCCAAGATACACAATACCAAACCAATTGTAGTGAAATGCCGTCAGTCTCTTTATATTCCATTTGTGAGATGTAAGTTCCACTCAAGCAGCTTCTTCCCACAAATTGCTGATCCGTGCAACCAATTCCCAAGACGGTGATTACCTAATCACTACAAACAAACAGTTAAACAGTTCATTCATCTAAATTGAAGTTGTCATGCCACCCTCTTATTGTCTAAAAATCTTTTTCACAAAAACCTCTTAATCGGTAACTTTTGTTCCTATAAAAATATTTTATTTTCTCTCCTACATTTCTGCACACTCAGTATGGAATTTTATTAGTGCCTCCATGTGTTCATTGGCTTTTTGTATCCAATATAAAACTATTTTATTGTCCCTGTTGTCTCTCGTACATTTCCATGAAAGTATGGAAAATTCATGTGTTCATTGGAATTTTATCCAATATAAAAACTAAATTATTGTCCCATGTTGTCTCTTTTTGTATTCAATATGGAATTTTATTTTGCATCTGTTCATTGGCTTTTTTGTATCCAATATAAAACTATATTATTGTCCCTCTCTCGTACATTTCTTTGAAATTCAGTATGGAATTTTATTAGTGCCTCCATGTGTTCATTGGCTTTTTGTATCCAATATAGAAACTATATTATTGTCCCTGTTGTCTCTCCTACATTTCTGCACATTCAGTATGGAATTTTATTAGTGCCTCCATGTGTTCATTGGCTTTTTGTATCCAATATAAAAACTATTTTATTGTCCCTGTTGTCTCTCGTACATTTCTGCACATTCAGTATGGAATTTTATGTAGTGTATCTCCATATTAAAATCCTATCTCTGTCATTTCTTTTATTCAGTATGTTTTTTATTAGTGCCTCCATGTGTTCATTATTTTATTTTTTTAAATATAAAACTATTTTATTGTGTCTCGTAACAAATGCACATTCAGTATGGAATTTTATTAGTGCCTCCATGTGTTCATTGGCTTTTTTATCCAATATAAAAACTATTTTATTGTCTCTTTTGTCTTCTTTTTTCTGCACATTCAGTATGGAATTTTATTAGTGCCTCCATGTGTTCATTGGCTTTTTTATCCAATATAAAAAAAAATTTTATTGTCCCTGTTGTCTCTCCTACATTTCTGCACATTCAGTATGGAATTTTATTAGTGCCTCCATGTGTCCATTGCCTTTTTGTATCCAACACCAGAATGTATTAATTTTTACTCCAAGGTTATTTTACACTTGGTCATGGCCATAAATATATATATATATATATATATATATATATATATATATATATATATATATTATATTTATTTTTTTTCTTTCTTTTATACACTATATATATATATATATATATATATATATTGTAAGAAACTGAAAAAAATGAATTTTACTTGAATTGAAAATTCTAAATAGATGAAAGCTTGAAAATTTGAACTCAATTTTCAACCATATGGTTTTTAAAAAACAAAAAATTCTTAACAGTAAATGCTGGGCAATTTTGTCACAGATGCAGAATAATCTTCAAGCATTAGAAATCCTGTTCCACTGGTGTAATACTAAGAATACCATAGACAGAACATGATAACAATGTTTAAGTTTTAAGAACATTAAGGCAACATAATTACAGAAAGAGACAGATGATATCTGGCAGTGTATGGTTATGGAGGACAGTGCCTTACAAAAATTTAGAATGTATTAAAATAGAAAACTTCGTTAGAAACAAAGAATGTTTACCAAGGAAACATTTGGTCTGATCAAAAAGTATCAAGACTGGTGCCTTAAAAAAAAAGTACAACACATATCAATTCAGCATTTAATCTCCTTCAAAATAGTCTTCTTCTGAAGCCATACACTTTATCCATTGTTGTTTCCATATATAGTAGCTGTCCTGGGTATGACAAGAAACTATGTCCAACAGCAAGGCCTCTGATCAGGAGGTTTTGAGGAGTGTGGAACTACCTTTTAATTGCTGATGTTCCCAGATCTCACCTGACCCAGGGTGGTAGCAACTGGTAGGGGGTTTTACCTATGGGCAAATTGCTAACCCCCAGACTGGGGTCAAAATACTACAAAAGTATAATACTTTGTAAAAAAAATTATTACTAGCAATACAGTTTTGAAAAAATATTACCAGCAATAAAAAATTTTGTCAGCATTAAATAACCCATTGAGGTTGATATTTTGTAAAACAAAACATACCAAACCAAACCATATATAGAAGCATACCTGGAAGCATTCTTGGAATACCTTATTTGGGATAGTCTGCATTCTCTTGGATTTCATCAACATTTTTTGATTTTTTTCCTTATGGTTTTTTTTGTGAAGGAGGAAAAATTGCAAGGGGTGGTATAAAACGCAGAGTGTGTGTGTGTGTGTGTGTCTGTAACGTTTATATATTGGATCGGATTTCCTACATTTTTCAACCGATTTCAACAAAACTTCACAGGACTACATAAAATTACCTTGTGGTGGTTCTAACAGTGCCAAAAATGGGAAAAATATAATTGTTTTTGCACAAAATCAATTTTAAAATACGATTAAGAGATATCATGAAAATGGAAGGGGGACAACTCACATCGGATTGTTTATGTGTGTGGGTTCCTTTAAATATGGGAGCAGATTTCCTATATTTTTCAGCTGATAAAACAAAACTTCACTTTTTTTTTTCTTTTCTTTTTTTTTTTTGGCAAGTAGTGTTTCTTATTCTCTTGCACACTTTTTTCTTTATTTTTAACATTCAGAATGCTTTAAAAATTCCATTTACAAGACAATTGTTAATAAAATTCTATTCAATCGGGAGACTCATAACGATTGAAAACAATGTTTTTGTTTGAGTTTGTGTTTAACCAATTCCTGAAAAAAAAAAAAAAAACTAATTAAGACATGCGTGTCCATCAACCTTAAACAATAATCTGTGTCAATTTTATTTTTCAGTCTTTATGATGGTGGATACTTAATCTATCTCTTACTGTTATATCCCCGGGCAACGCCGGGCTCTACTGCTAGTCTGGTATATATGATGGTTGGCAGACACGAGGAATGTTGTCCTTGGCCAAAAACTGCTGCACAAGTCATGGTCACTAACAGAACCTCTGTGGTGTGGTGAGATGACCACACTCTACACACTTTCCTTCCAAAGTACTGCTATAAACAACAGGAGTGAGCAAGAACATTATAACTTATTGTGCATGTGTGACAGAGTTCAAGGTTTCAAGTGGCTTTATTCTACATACTATAACTCAATTACGTTAGCAACAATCTAGATACTTTTTGAACAGACCTCATAATTACAGTCAGAGAGAGAGATTAAATCTGGAGGCAAATGTTGCCTTCCAGAAACTAAGAAAGTGTCAAGAGATTGGAAAATTTTGATTGAAACAAAGCATGCAGAATGTCTAAACAAAAAACAAAGATATTGAGCAAACATGAACTTTCATGCCCACAAAAAAAAACAGAGTATAAAAAGGACAGTTTTTCCCTTGACTCTGCTACTATTTTAACTACCTTCACTCCTCGACTATGTTTATTCTTTTAAAAAGTGATGATTAGAATTGTAATAAAACCTCAAGATATGATGAAAATGAATTTATACAATTTCTTTATTCTTGAGAATTGACAATAAAATAATAAACACTCTTCTATGATTTATTGGAATAATTGACAAAGCATCAGCTAATTGCCAATTGATTCAAAGTTTATAAAAGGATAGTTTATCGTCATACCCAGGACTAGTAGTTTATTGAATAATAAACATAATAAAGAAATTCAAAAACCAGCAGCAGTTTCTGTACATTAATTTGCCTTGTATACGATAAATACAAGTAAATTTTTCACTTTGTTTTCTTTTCCTTTAAAATGAATAATCATGATCACTGTTTTCATACTATGTATAATACCAGTTGGTTGGGTTTTTAAAAATCTTATTTTTATTTTATGAGATTTTATAATGGGTCATAAGTCTAGGTCTACGGGGCGGGGAGGTTGTTAATCAGGTAAGTTATGAGGAGTAGGTGTATATGCAAATACACTAACTCTTTATGGGTCATGTAATGTAATGCAATTATTTGATATGTAATTGTTTTAAGTGTTTGCCATTAGTGGGTAAAGCTTTGAATTGATTTAAAAACAAGAAAAATGGCAAACATGGACTTTTGTGCCTGCAAAAACACCAAAGTGTCAAAAGGAGAGATTTTTCCCATAACACCACTTTTATTTTAATTCCCTTCATTCTTCAGCAATATTTATTCTTTTAAAAAAAGATTAGAATTGTAAACATATGATGAAAGTGAATTTATATATTTTTCTTTTCTTCTTGAAAATTTACAAAAATATTAAACACTATTTATTTATTAGATTGTTCATTTACAAGAATAATTTTATATTTGCAACATTCTAAAAACAACTTTTTTTTTGCCTGGTGCCCCGATTACATAAATTTAATCGTGCTACTAGACTGGCAACTAAGTCCTGCCCTTTTAGCATTGAAATAGTGAAATGTAACCACCACTTCTACTCCAACAGCTTCTTTTCTCGCACTTACCAGCTGTGGAACACCCTTCCATTTACATGTTTTCCTGATGAATAGAATTTTCAAAAATTTAAATGCAACATCAATTGCCATCTTCTGATGTCTTGAACCTCGGTCATCTTTTATCTTTTCCTTATTCCCCCTATATACAGTTTTTCTCTGACCTTCAATCTATGATTTTGAATGAACAAAAACAGTGATAACCAGCTTTGCTTTTCTGTGAAATGCTTAAAACATAAATAAAAACTAATGCAATTCAATATTTATCATTTCCCAATATATAAAGAAATAAATATGAAAACAATTTTTTTTTTAAAAAAGCAATGATTTAGAATAAAACCTAAACATATAATGGAAGTGAATTTATACATTATTTTTGTTCTTAAGAATTAATAACAAATTGAAATGGTTGGCAAAACATTGGCTAATTCCCAATAGATTTGAACTTTATAAAATACTAAATAAATATTAAATACAACAGTGAACCTTCTAAAGTATTAAGAAACAGTAAAATTTCATTAGAAACAAAGAATAGATAACTGAACAGCTTTGTAATATTGACAAACATTGATAAACATGCCCACAATAAGACAGTCATAATGGCTGGTTTTTCTATGGCACCGCTTTTTTTAACTACCTTCAATCTTCAGCCATGTTTATTGTTTTAAAAAGCAATGATTAGAATTGGAATAAAACCTAAATATATGATGAAAGTGAATTTATACATACTTTTTTTTGTTCTTGAGAATGGACAACAAAAATATTAAACACTATTTGTTACATTGTTTATTTACAAGAATAATTTTATGTTGACAACATTCTAAAAAGTAATTAGAATTAGTACAATGCAATATTTATCATTTACCAACTTATAAAGAAATATGAAAACAATTTTTTATCCATAAATTTATAAACATTTACTAAATTATTAAAATATGTGAACCATTTATAAGGGAATCCTTATTATTTACCATTTTATAAAGTTCAAATCAATTGGGAATTAGCCAATGTTTTACCAACCATTCCAATAAATAAATAATATTTAATATTTTTATTGTCAATTCTAAAAAACAAAGAAAATATATAAATTCAATTTCATCATATGTTTAGGTTTTATTACAATTCTAATCATTGCTTTTTAAAACAATATTGCCAAAGAGTAAAGGTTTATCAATGTTTGCCGATTATGTCCTGAATGTGTTTTTTTTTTTTTTTCTTATAAATGTGGTATTATGATGAAAGGATTATTACAAACAAGATAGGGTCAGTGAATGGGATTAGCTAAATAGAATTTTAGAAAAAGTGATGACTAGCCTCCACCATAGAGTAAATAAACAATCTAATAATGAAAGTAGTTAAAATAATAGCAGTGTCAAGGGGAAAACTGTCCTTGTGACACTGTTTTTTGTTTTTTTTGTGGGCATGAAGATCCATATTTACTGATGTTGGTCTGAATAATAAATATATCAGTTTCTTTATTTAATTCTCTTTCATTGTAAAATTTTATTATTATTTTAATGTTTTTTTTTTTTTTTGGGGGGGGTCTTTTTGTATTGCTGTAACGGATAACAACTCCAAAAGTTTCTCCAAGGTTAATTCTCTATAAATCAAGCAAGATAAACATGTTTATTTTTTATTTTTTTTAAGTATAAAATTAATTTTTATGTTCCTTTGTATCCTTTCAGCATCCACCACTTCAATTTAACAAGAGTTACAAGACCTTGAAAGAGCCACACCGTTCTCAGACTGTCCACTCATTTGACCAGCTCAACTTCGATGTTGATGAAGAAGAGTCAGCATCCTACAGTGAGGACCAGCAGCGCTTATCACAGTCCCAACCTTCGATTTTAGTCTCCATAGATACTTCTGGAGCAGGTTTTGAAAGGATGTGCTTATTCCGACGTTCCCTGCGTGAGCTTGAAAGCGGTACTTTATCTTCTCGCTGCACCAGGAGGCGTTCAATATCTGGATTACCGGAAAGTATCTTGCAAGAAATCAGAGAATTTGAAAGTCGAAAGAGAAGCTCTGATAAGCACCGGCCTCGGAGGAATCCTCGGACATATAGCTTTAACGATCTTGGTCCGCAGGAGGGCAGGGATGAAACGTTTGCCAAATATTTTGATGAGATCGATGGGAAGATGGAGGAGAAAACTGAATGGGAGAACTTCGCAAAGCAGTCCTTCTTTTCAAAGTTTATTTCCTGCAACAGGTCACGTTCTCTGCCGAGGTGCATGAAATCAAAATATCAAAAGATCGAACGGGGTTCCAAGCTCAATGAACGTAGATCCATTCATATTGATACTTCGGAACACTTCAGCCTTGACGATGAGCTGTCTGTAAATTCGGGCAGCATCCGACGGTACCAGAAACGGTCAAGTATAATCAATGACAAGATCAAGAATTTTATTGGCGTCAGCCACCGACACCACCAAAGGCAGTCGCTAAATCTTGACCTTTTCAAAACACCTCTGACAAGCCATGAAAGTTTTGACGAAAGACACCTGAGTATGGCCAAGACACTAAGCATGCCCGAGGGTATTGCTAAAACTCCACCACTGAAAACTCCTGAGAAAAATGAGGAATCCAAAAACTGTCAGTATTACAACTTTTCCAACAACACATTGCCCCGTGCTCAAGCCAAGAAATACAATTTCCCCTGGGAGAGTCTCCCAAAGGATTGGACTACATCTGTACGCTTACGAGAAATCTCAAAACGTCGAAAAGAAGAAAGACAATCATCATCTGGTAAGTAAATATCTATAGATATAAATGCATGAGTATGTGTATATGAATATCCGTATATGAGGAATTGATAGATTTTATTTATAATCAGTGTTGCTCATTATTATAAACATATTTTGCCAATACATATGTTTGAGCGTTTTTTTAAACAGTTTAATTAACATCTACTTGACTCAATATTTTAGAGCTTTCAATAAAAATGTGCTTTTTGGCACCATTTGAAACTGTATTCCCATCATATAGGGAAAGCTACATTCAAGTCTGCCTCAGACTACTTTGCGATGAAAGACTTCACTGTAAGAGCATCGTTTGATTTATTAGTCTTTTGCAGGTTATTTAAAACCAGAAAATATTTTTAGATTGTAAAAATATTTTGGAGATAATAAAGATTTACTGATACAAGTCCTACTATTTAACCCATACCTGGGGAGAAAAGAGCTGAATTCATATCTTTCTCAAGGATATTTGCATGTAAGAGAATATAACAACCTGACTGAAATTGGAACTCGACACTCTGATTTCCAATTCCAAGCTGTTATCCATTATACCACCCACACATCCAAGCTTACAATGCGTGGTATTCTCAAATGGTCACCCACTTAGGTACTGACCAGATTTGATGTTGCTCAACTTTAGCAATCATATGAGAACCAGTGTTTCAACATGATATAGCTGTTATCCATATACCACCCACACATCCAAATTTACAGCACCTGGTATTCTCAAGTGGTCACCCACTTAGGTACTGACCAGACTTGATGTTTCTTAACTTCAGCGATCATACAAGAACCAGTGTTTCAATGATATAGCTGTAAGACATACCACCCACACATCCAAATTTACAGCACCTGGTATTCTCAAGTGGTCACACACTTAAGTACTGACCAGGCTTGACATTGCTTAACTTTGGTGGTCCTACAAGAACTAGTGTTTCAACATGATATGGCTGTAAGCTCACTGAAAAAGAAGAGAATAACAGCCATTTCTTGTTCACAGTGACAAGGCTTGACCAGGCACCTGATACAAAAACTGACAAAGGAGAAATTGCAGGGGTTCCAAGCCTCCTGCTCCTGATTTAAATGCAATTTGCTTCGATGCCAATCTAACATACACATATCCCACTGGGACCATTGAAGCCCCATATTTGTCAACCCCATTTTCATATCTGAACCTGTAGTGGACTTCTGCAGAGGGAAAAAAGACCCAGGGTTGCATGTATTTTTTGCAACACTAGAATAAAATAACTTACGTCCAGCATAAGCAAAGATTCAAACATGCCTCACAGTGTAAACTTCCCAAAGGAGAAAGAAATGGCGGCTTCATGGGTGACATATTTAAAATAGTTACATCCCAGAGTAAGATACACTTTTGCAAGATTATCTTTGCACATATGCAAATTTTGACTGTCAATGATACATAAAAACGGGAAGAATAAGCTGACAAGGTAGTGGGGGGAAAAAAGATGGTTGACTGCTGTGTTAAACTGGCCACATGTGTTGAAGACAAGAGAGAAAAACTGATTGCAGGCATTGATTGCAGCAATAAGTTTAAAGCTTTTTTTTTTTTTGCTACAGAAACATAAGTAATTTTTAATAAATTCATATTTATAATCCAACATTATAATTATAATGTTTATAATGATAAGCAAGATCTTTATAGCATCCTGCGTATGACCATAATCTACATTTAGCAGCAAGGCATCTGATTGGGAGATTGAAAGTTTTGAAGACCATAGAACCATCTCTTAACTGCTGTGGTTCTCAGGGTCCATCCTGAAATGCCTATAAAGAAACAGTTTTCTCATGCTTTAATGCATTTATGTTATAATGTATTTATTATATATTTGTGTATTTAGACATGAAAAAAATTCCAAAATGGATAATTTTTTCACATTCTAATGAACGCTCAGTACATTATCAACCTTTTTGCATTTAAAAGCATAATGAAAAAATTACAATAATGGATAACAACACACAACTTTGTATAAATACTTGTACTAATGAACAACATATAGTTTTGTACAACTTGCACTCCTGAAGATGATCTTGGAAGAAGATCAAAAGTACTTGGGAAATGAAAATAAAAGAAATTTAAACAGCTATAGCACATTTCTCTCATCCTATAACATCAATACATGGAAGGTTATTCATGAGTATGAACGGATTTTGTTAAAAATTAGCAGACATAATGTCTGTATTTTATTCAGGCAGACATGACGAAAAGAGAATTTGCTGCCTAAATACATTATTGTTAAAATCCTTACATTATAAAAGAAACATTGATATTGTTTTAATAGTAGCAGTAGTAACTTCCTGCTTTACAGTCAACTACAATCTTCAAAACTTTAAATTCAATGTCAATCATCATCTTCTGTCTCCTTGAGTCCTGTTCTTTTATTGTCCTCTGTTTCTTTCACTCTCAGTAACCCCTTGCATCTTAGTGACTTCCATAACATTGTGAAATTAAGGGACAGGATCTTTCAGATAACAATAACCAACTGATAACATTAAGCAGTTGTTGTTTCTCATCTAATATCTTCATACGCATCTTTTTGTGAATAAAGATAAAAGGAAAAATTTTCTTTATCTACACATTTTGTCTAACAAGGGACTTTATCATGACAAATGTAAGGATTTTATTTTGCAACTTGTATTTATAAATAGAAATAAAATATTGTTAAATTTTCAAAATTTATGAATCTTCTTTAAAATATTCTTAAAACTGTAAGTAAAGGAGGATGCAAAGTGACATAATTTGGTTATTATTATTATGGAGGATGCAAAGTGACATAATTTGGTTATTATTATTAAAAAAAACATAATTTGGGAGGATGCAAAGTGACATAATTTGGTTATTATTATGGAGGATGCAAAGTGACATAATTTGGTTATTATTATTATGGAGGATGCAAAGTGACATAATTTGGTTATTATTATTATGGAGGATGCAAAGTGACATAATTTGGTTATTATTATTATGGAGGATGCAAAGATGCAAAGGATGTATTATTATGGAGGATGCAAAGTGACATAATTTGGTTATTATTATTATGGAGGATGCAAAGTGACATAATTTGGTTATTATTATTATGGAGGATGCAAAGTGACATAATTTGGTTATTATTATTATGGAGGATGCAAAGTGACATAATTTGGTTATTATTATTATGGAGGATGCAAAGTGACATAATTTGGTTATTATTATTATGGAGGATGCAAAGTGACATAATTTGGTTATTATTATGGAGGATATGACATAATTTGTTATTATTATTATGGAGGATGCAAAGTGACATAATTTGGTTATTATTATTATGGAGGATGCAAAGTGACATAATTTGGTTATTATTATTATGGAGGATGCAAAGTGACATAATTTGGTTATTATTATTATGGAGGATGCACAAATTTGGATTATTATTATGGAGGATGCAAAGTGACATAATTATTATTATTATGGAGGATGCAATGGTTATTATTATTATGGAGGATGCAAAGTGACATAATTTGGTTATTATTATTATGGAGGATGCAAAGTGACATAATTTAATTCCTAATAAATGAAAGTGATTAAATGTTGTTATTGTTGAATTTTTATTTCCTTATTTATTTATTAATGTAATTATTATTTAATTTTAATTTGATAAATTATTTATGCATTTATTTTAAATAACGAAGTTCTTAAGTTAATTGTTTTCTTTTAATATTTTAAAACATTGGCTTATGAAAAAAGTATTCCTCTTAAGAAAAGAGATATTTGAAAAATATCCTTTTATCTCCCCTCAGGTAACTGGAGTGGCAGTACAAGTGCCCGTCAGTCACTGGAATCCAACCAGACCAGCTGCACCACACCCACAAATGAAATGGGAGGGGTTGTGTCTTCTGCTTCCTTCCACTCCCTTGGGCAGGACTCTGGGCGAGATTCAGCTACCGAAACAGATGATAGGTCAGTAGTGCTGAGCATACCCTTCAACTGTTTTAACCTCTCCACACAACTAAAGCAACAATATTCACCACCGGCCTATTGGCCATACGAAATGCAGTTTCTGACTTTCAAACCATATGCTGAGGGCAACCCATCTGCAGCCCTTGACCCAGAACCTGTGGTTAATGTTAGCGAGCAAACGACTCCAATTAGAAATGGTTATAGTGCCTTCACACTGCCTGATATTTATGAGAGGAGTATATTTTAACCTCCACTCAAAGACCCACATAGTTTGCTTTTTTGGTTTTGTTTCAGTTTGCACTTTGAATTCTAACTAAATACAGACACTTTTCAACTTAACACTAATTAGTTATTTTCTTTGTATACAAGTATGTTATGAAATGGAATAAGTCTGACAATTATTTTAATATATTTTATTATTATGCGTAATTACACAAATATTTAAGTAAATGCTGTTTATAATAAACAATATTAACAACATTTACTGGCTTGAATATCAAAGAAATTTCATAGAAAATATGCATCCTCCGACAGGAATTGAACCTGTGTCCTACACAGAACCGTCATATATCTTGACATGCTATACCAGTTTAGCTATGAAAATTGACCTTCTTGACCAGACACTCCTTCATAGATAAACTGGTACAGCATGTCAGGCTATATGACAGTAGGATAAAGTTCATTTCCTGTCGGAGAACATATATTTTCTTTTGAGATTTCTTGGACATTAAGGCTGGTAAATGTTAATACTGTTTATTATAAACAGAGCATTTACTTAAATATCTGTGTCTATATAAATAATGTATAACAATAAAATATATTAAAATACAAGTACATATGTTAATATAAATAAAAACAGGGATGATAACTCCAACATTTACCTAGTAAAAATAATGTTCATAGTAATAAAGAAATAATATCAGCTTACTAAAACATTACTTTGTATACATTTTGGGTTCAAAGATGAGGCTATCTAATATAAATTTTGAAAGGTCCCAATGAGAGATGCGCTTTCCTGAAGTAGGTAATAGAGCCTTGCTTTATCATGACAGCTTGCAGTAGCCTAGTTGATAGGGTACAATTCAGCTATAGGTGAGGTTTCCCTGGTGGGAAAAGGGGCTACAGGCTCAATTCTTGTTAGGCAGTATGTTTTTCTTTAGTAAGACTTGCTAATCTAGGTTAGTTAAAAACTGTTTAAATAAAACAAGGAGGTCAATTTAAATTTAAATTATTTTAATTTAAACCCACTAAAGATAATATTTCTATAGAGATGTATGTTAACCTTTTGATTTGGATCAGTTCAGAATTCAAAAGTGAGCATTGATATTTGTTCTGATATACTTTGCCATTTTTTTGTAGTACAGTGTAACCCGGATATAAGAGACCCTGATATAAGAGAAACCCGGATATAAGAGACCCTGATATAAGAGAAACCCGGATATAAGAGACCCTGATATAAGAGAAACCCGGATATAAGAGAGATTTTCTCTGGTCCCAAATTAGAGCCTGTGTTAATGTATATAAAATAGACCAAACCCGGATATAAGAGAAACCCGGATATAAGAGAGATTTTCTCTGGTCCCAAATTGTTCCCATACTTACCTAAACAAAATAGACCAAACCCGGATATAAGAGACTTCTTCTCCGGTCCTGACAACTCTCTTATGTCTGGGTTACACTGTATATAAAATCGTATGAAACTGACTGAACATAATTGTGAAGTTTCTAGAAAGTAAAAGCAAGCATAGTCAAGGACAAACAGCAATTAGTACAGCTAAAGCACTATAATTTACCATGAAAAATTAAGCTACAAATTAGATAATTCTTAACTATATAAATTCATACTAAATATGGGCACCTCGAGGTGGTGTAATGGTTAGAAAGCTTGTCTCGCTAGAACAGTTATGACTGAGTAGTGAGTTTGATCCTCACTGGGTGCCCCTACTTCCAGCCTTGTGCCATATCTAAGCTACACTTGGAAAATCACTATAAATTCATACTAAATATATCTTTTAAATTGAAGAGTTCTTATAGTCTCTTCGAGTACTCTCTTAGTATACCCACGAATGATCAAGGGAGACAATTCTTGCTAAAGAAAAGAACAATAATATTTTATAAAATATCTATTTTAATAGTGGAAGGGAGAAAACTCATTCAATTTTAAATATGAAAATGTAAGAATTAAATATATCCCTACAACTTTTTTTTTTTTTTACAGTAAGGTTCACCCTGTACAAGGACCGGGGGTCCACTCGTTATAGAAAAAATATCGAATATCTCATAAAAAAATCTTGTAATATGGAATTTATAAGTAACTGTACTCAAATCTTAAGCAACTACACTACAGATGTCAGTGTGGTCTAAACAACTCAAACAAAGGTAAAAATAGTTACTAAATACACTATTTTATTCTGTATTCAAGAATTCTACCAGTTAACTTACATTGAAAAGGCTTTCTTTTCTATTTATTAGTACCAAGCATAAAAACTTAAGCAACTTCCCCACATATCCTCATGTGACTCTTACTTCTTACTCTGTAACCCTCTACTTCGAGTGGCTCTTTGGCCTTATACAGACTGAATATTATTGTAAAAAAAAAAAAATTTGTGTACTAATACGTGACAAAAATTAAGTAACGCGTGCAATGGTTAAAATATTAGGTTGTTACATAAATTTGTTCATTTTTTTTATAATTTGTTTCAATACTTATTATTTATTAATAGTTACAATGAATCATTGAACAATGTATTTACCTTCATTGTTTATGACATCCTGCTAATGATCCACTGTTCAATGCCTTGACAATAGAAATCAATAGGTTTTGACTAAAAAAAACCTTATCAAGCTACATTTTAAGATACACATAAAACACACCTTCAAATTGTTAGAAAGCAGCCAAAAAACGTGGTAGTCTGAAGGAACTAAAGCAGTAAGATATGGTGCGGCAGAACTTCTCAACTGAGCCCTCTCTTTGTATCCACATGATGTAGCCTGATGTCAAGTGAGTAAACTGGCATCAATGAAGTGAAGTTTGTTTCTCTTGGTGAATGCTAGTGGCATCCATGATTCTGGACTTAACTCATTGTGAAGATGATGAGCAACAATAATATGAGAGCTTGCCATCTTCTGAGCCAATTCCCTAGGGATCTGGGGTGGTTATTCTTTAATCAATGAATGCAATTGGTTCTCATCAAAATGAACATGTCAGCCAGAATGCAGAGAATCTGTAAGTTTGAACTTCCCCTCCTAAAAATGGGAAAACCATTTGTGCTGTTCTCTCAGTAATGAAGTAATCTCCACACAGAGCTCATATGCCTTCATTTATATGTGATAAGTTATAGATTTTAAGAAGGATATTGTTTAAAATACTCTAAATGGTAGATTATTCCTTTCAATATTATAAACAAAATGATACTAAGTTGAAGAGTGTCTGTAAAATTCTTTCAGCCATTTTTCTAAAAAAAAAAAAAAAAAAAAAAAAGAAAAAAAAAAAGACCTGGCCTAACTAACATGAAAAATATGAACACTATCAAAGAACTATATTTAACATCTCCCCAAACAGACTTTGTTACATGATGTTTTACTCTTTAGAGAAATTGGCCTGATTTTCTTGTTTTAGTATTTTTCTTTGAGTTTTTTTTCGATTTTGTTTTCCTTGATTGAAGTTTTAACCCCAATTTTAACACAAAGGAAAAAAATTGATGCTTCCAGTTTTAATGTGAATATTTTCTATTGATGTTTGTTTGTGCTTGCTTTTTTTCCTCCTTTTAGTTGTTTGTTTTAAACTAAAACACTTTAGGATTTTTGCAACATTTTGTTAGATCAATCATTACTAAAATTTTGCAAAATAACAATGGGAATTTTATTTGAACTTTAGAGAAAAGAAATATAAAAGTTTTAGTTCATATAAAGTAATTTTTTATCTTCAACATTTAAAGAATAATCTATTTTGTTTTTTTTTTTGTTTTTAATCAAAATCATTACCCCATTAATAACCACTATAAAATGCAGTCTTAATTACACTTTTTTTTTTCAAAAATGCAATATTAATTTTTTTTTTTTTTTTTTTTTTTTAAATAAATGGGATGGTGGGCATGAACGGATTAAGTGTTTTGTTCACTATAGAGACAATTTTTTTTTATTCATTACTAAGACAGTACATTTTAAGAAATCACTAAAAAGGGGAAATAACTCTTTTTTTATATATTTTTATTCGACAAACAAAATTAGCAAATAATACCTAAATGACAATTAACAATTAAATAAGCACTTCAGATTCTATTCAAAATTGCAATTAAATTATTTATTTATATTAATTTAATATGCCTTTTAGCAAAATTTCAATCAATAGATTTTTCATCAATAATTACCAGTAAAAGTTGATTTATATAAATTAAAAAAACTGCTTCGTTATTTAAATTATTCTTATTATATTACTATTATATTGAAGTATAGATGACATAATTAAGAAATATGAATTTAAAAACTAGCATAATTTGATAAAAGAAACAATGTGAATTTACTTTACTATTAAAACCTTAAATGTGAGATGATTCTACAGTAAGTAGGAAAGCGTTAGATATTGTGGAAGCATTTTTTTAGTCATCATTAAAACACAGAAAGATTTAAGCCAATTTTCTGACTTTGTTCAGCAACATATTTTTGATTCAAAGTACAGCTAAGCTCTTGTTATTGACAAAAAACTATTTGGGAATTTGAGTTCAAAAACTTTTAAAATGTTCCAATTTGTCAATTCCTGTCATTTTGGGAACTAATCATTTTCTCTCCTTAAATTGTGCTAAAGACATCAGCATAAACAAAATTCTAAAACTACATATGGTTATATATATATATATATATATATATATATATATAAAATGTATTATTGGATTTTCTAAACATACATGGGTGACCTTAACACAACCCAGTAGTACTATAGTCTTAATCAGGACAAACAGTCACTAAGCAATATTAAATAGAAACAAGAGATCCCAAGACATAGCAAGTAGAATGATAGATTAAATAACATGTTCAGTTCAAAATTCCCTGAAGGCTACCAGGATCAATAAGCTCCTGATGAAGGCCGGAGGGCACAACAGCTGAAACGTTGTGATAATAACAAAGATAGTAGTCTGGCTCTAAATATTGAAAATATGAATAGTTGAGGTTACTCTTGTTTAAAGACATATGTAAGACAGCTGAGGAAGGCTGGAGAGCACACCAGCTAAAATGTTGTGATAGTAACAACAAAGATGAGGATATTAGTCTGACCCTAAATAATGTAAACAAGTTTATTTAGACATTAAATTAAGAATTATAATCCATCAGAAAATTAAAATTGGGTAAATCATGAAATTTTCAAAGCTTCTGCTTGTTTAATTTAGTATTTTTTTCAAATATATTTTTGCATCCCTTCAATCTTTTAATAACTTGATAATATATTAAAACAAAATTAGCTTAAGTATAACAGAAAATGAAAACCAAGAAAGAAAAGAGTTAGATTTTAAAATAGCAAGAAAACATGAAAGAGGAATTCACGGAGCCATTTTGAATTTAATCATTGCTTTGACGGTTTTTAAATATCCAACTTAAAATTATTTTTACAATTCAAATAGCATTTGTGCTTTTGATAACAGGGTGGAGGTGAAGAGTATTAATTTTTTTTTATTTGCATTTTAAACACTTATATACAAGCAGGGCCAGTGCACACTACCCCGAACACCCCAACCGAGATAGGGACAAGCCTGATTGAGGGCCCTAGGTAGTGATTTATAATCATCATTATCTCATCAATATTTTTTTTTCTACCTACATTTATATACATTACAAATGAAACTAAATGTAATTGATTATTAAAGGATGAAAAAATTTTTGTGGATTTTGACGTCATTCTGCTTTTTTTTTTTTGTTTTGTTTTGCTCTAGCTAAGTCTTGAAAAAACACGATATAAAATTCACTGTTTTTTATCCATAATGTTGAATGTGTTAAAATTGTTCAACTTTTTAACAAGAAAAATTTCAAGTTGATCTTAAAAATTACCACAAAACAATGATTGATTTAAGATGGAATGACCGATTATGACGTGTCTCTAATTTGTATTTAGATACATTGTATTTATTTTAAATTTTTTCAGTTGAATTGTTCACCTATTTTGCATATGATCCATTGTTGTACATAATTAGGTTACAGTAAAATTTGTATTTTATATGAAATACTACTTTAAACTGAGATGTAGTAATGTGGGGGGGGGCATATCATAGAGTGGGGCTGTATCATAGATTCAGTGGAATCCCACAAAACCCTTGCACTGACCCTGTACTACCTTATGAAAATTGAGATGTAGCAGAGTGGGGGGTGGCACACATCATAGATGGGTGGGGGCACAAGACTGTTGCACTGGCCCTGTATACATAGTACAGCAGAAATATCTCCCACATATTGGAAATACATTAGCTACATGAAGACGCCATTCCCATTAATGTTTTACCATTATGTGGGAGCTATTTCTGCCACACCCTGAATAATCAGTCATGCATTGACATCTACAAGTTGTTAACACTGACTTATGTCTTTGTTTTTAATCCTTGTTAAGCTTTGTCATTCAGAAATTAAATTTTTATTTTTAAACGGAAATAGAAAAATTAATCTTTTTTGTTTCCAGTCAGTTGTTTTAGAATTCTCTAAGGCTAGAATAATAGATTCCATAACAATGGCTTCTAGGTTACAATAAAAACATTGGCAATATTTAACCTTTGTGCTCAAAAAATAAAAGTCAAAAAGACGGTTATTCCCTTGATAGCACTATTATTGTATACACTTTTGACTTCCTCTTCACAAGGACTAAACATTGTCAAAAGATTAATAAATAAAGCTTATGATGAACAGAATGTTTTCAATTGGACAATCTTTTATGAGAAACATTCAAATCTAAAATGGAGCCAAAACAAGTCTCCTTTGTTGCTTGGAAATAAATTGAAGCCTGACTCTGAAAGTTTATTTAAAAATGTTTCTATTGAACCATTAACAATGTGATAAGTAAAAAAAGAAAAAAAATTTAAATAGTGCCTAGTGGTTAAAAATGCCTACCAATCAGAAAATCAGTATATCCAATCACCACTAATTGCCTTTTCATTGGTCATTAATAGATTTAACATTTTCATGTGCTTTTTATATAACACAACTTTAAGCTTTATAACAAATATATTTCTGGATGCCAAAGACCACAAAATGTAGGTCGTTTATTTGTTTAAAATTGTAATCTAACCAAATTTTGGGCATTTGCAATCACATACAAATATATACATGCACACAAACAAATACATTATCATCTGAATTCTGCATAAAAAAAAGCTAGAATTATGATAGATATATACGCATGAATTATACACACAAGCACTGCTTGACAAGACAGATGCACATGAGGTCTTCTTAACCAATGTAAAACACAAAAATTAAAAATAGAATTTTCTTTTTTTTTTTTTTTTTTTTTTTTTTTTTTGTTCATTTTAAATTCTCTGATGTGGCTTTAATAAAAGCGAAACACATTAAATTTATAAATGTTTCATATTTTTTCCTTATTCTATTATACAAATATAGTATATGTAGAAAAAGGAAAAACAAGTCTTATTAAAATAAAGAACCAAACCTGAAGGCTTACAGCCACATCATGTTGAAACAACAATTCCCATATGATCACTGAAGTTAAGCAATGTTGAGCCTGGTCAGTACCTGGATGGGTGACCACTTGAAAATACCAGGTGCTGTATGCACAGGTGGTGTAATGGATAACAACTCGGAATTGTTAATCAGAGATCCGAGTTCCAATTCCAGTTGTATCCATTATATTCCCTTACGTGCAAATGCCTTTGGAAAAGGTATGAATACATTGTTTCTCTCCCATCTATGGGTTAATTAATTAAACTTGTATCACTAAAAGTATTATCTCAGAAAAAGAAATTGCATACATAATATTTAGATTTCAGCATTAAATAACAGATAGATGTTGATATACCACTAAAAAAAAAAAAAAAAAACAACCAACCAACCAAAACTGAATAAAATCGTTAACCAAGGTAATGTGATTCTGAACATATTTAGCAACTGACTGATGTGTTTTAACTATAGAAGACCCTTATCATTAAAACAAAGAATCCCAGATCTTACTCAATCAAGGTACTGAGATTTTGAAAGTATTTAACAATAGACTGATACGGTCTAACCAAAGAAACTCATATTAATTGCAAAAATAAAGTCTTCTACTTCTTGAATAAGATCTTCTCCAAATAAGGTACTGGAATTTTGAATGTATTTAACAACTGATTTATACATTCTGACCAGAGAACTATTTTGCATATATATTGTTTTGTGTGTGAAAGCACAAATGCAACAACGTAGAAAATTAAAAACTGAATATAAATAAAAAAGAAAAGCTAATGTCTATAATTAAGGTTTTTGTATCCAGTTATTAAGGTCTCAGATGATATCACAAACCTGTAGACCTTCAAGATTGTTAGACAAATATCTGTAAGCTGTCAGAATGTAAAATTTTTGTCTTCACTATTCACTGACTGATGTTTATTGCTTAGGAAACAATAATGATTGATTAAAAAAAAAAATTTCCTTTTTGTGGCCTTTTAATCAAATTAATATTCATGAAAGTTTACTGCCTAAATACACACACGCATACATTATATATATATATATATAAATAAAGAAGTGTGGACACTGATGTCAACACCAAAATGCATTCTTCAGGCCAATATCCCAGATATTGAACACTTTTATCTATAAACATAGCATACCTTAAAACTATATTATATAACAAAAACAAAACCAATTGATAATGCCTAGCAAAACACTTAAAATTATGAGCATTTAACTTAATTTAAAGATGAATAGACTTTTTTCAAAGTGCTCAAGGAGAAAACTAGAACAATAATCTTCAACAGATGAAGAAAATTTCAAGAGATTTATCTTGTGACTGACTTTAAGTTTCCCAGACAAGCAGTGTATATGCAAAAAAAAGGTCACAACACGAGTCCTTTAAACTTTTCTTATATATATATATATATATATATATATATATATATATATATATATATATATATATTAAAATTAGTGAATATACATAATATCCCTTGTCAATAGGATAAGTTTCAAGCAGTTGCTGCAATCTTCAGGTGCAAATACAAGTGATTGCAGCAACTGCATGAAACTCCAAGTAATGTTATTGATGTTGGATAGTATATATATTCATTAATATATACTTATAGCTCTGTCTCATAACATTAAGCACTGTATTTATAACACCTGTGGAAGAAATATATTTATACATATGTAAAATTTTTCATGCATGTTTTCTATCATACACATACCTATATATATATATATATATATATACACACACAGATATATACAAAACACATATCATTGCTAATAATTTGAATAGTTGTATCTCCTGAATAATCATAATCAGTGGATATGACAGCTAAGTTTAGTTTCTATTAAAGAAAGTGCTGCACTCCATGACCTTTTCAAGATATTAAATGGATGAAATGTCATAATTCCAAACTAATATTGGTAAATAGTAATAAGAAGTAGTTACAAGTTTTAAAAAAAAGAAATTATATTTTATAATGTATACCAGGCACACCCCAAGTTAACAGAAGAGTAAATTTTATGAATTATTTTTATATTTAAAAAATCTTTATTTTTAAAAAGTTAGTGACATTGAGTACATGACTTCCATGATTAAATCAAGTTTTTGTCATTTGATATGTTAAATCGCTTAACCTTTAAGGAGTGGATAATCTTTTTCCTTTTGCCTTCCCTAAAGGATTTAAATAAAGTATTAGTGGCATTTCTAAAAAAAAAAATAGCAGATTCTTCTTAAATCCTTTTAAACGAAAATTGTATCACTAATCCTCTTTGGGGATGCTAAACAAAAAATGACAACCATTAAAGGGAATTTTTTTTCTATGTAATGTCTTAAAAATAAATGTTTACTTTAGAAGACTTTTTCATTATTTTCATATTTTATGACTAATTTTCCCTTATTGAAATTTAAAGTGCAGCTCAAAGTTTTAGTTATTTACTAGCGTGCAGTGAAGTAAAAAAAAAAAAATGTTGAGAAACACTATGTGCTTCTGCTACCAATCACTTGGCCAGTAACAGTTATGTCCCTTTATATTGTGATACTTGAAATACACTATATTGAAATAAACTTGTTTTAAACCCTATCTAATGTTTGTACTAATATCAGACTATAACATTTCACAAAATTTTATTATATCAATCACCAAGTTGTTGCCTTTTGTATCTACATGCATCTAAAACTACTATCAAAACGTTCTGTTCTTCCTTTAAAACAGTATATTGAATACATTTACACTAAATGTATTTCTACTAGTTTATACCCACTCCTATGAAAGAATTCACAAATATATTCTCGGCGTGGTGTAATGGTTAGCAAGCTTGTCTTGCTAAAACAGTTACGATAGAATAGTGAATTCGATCCTCACTGGGTGCCACATACATTCAGCCTCGTGCCACATCTAAGCTACGCTTAGAAAATCAATATATTTAAAAAGTTGTTTCACTTAACAAAATAGATGTACGTCTTTACCTAATCCAATTTTAATATTCTTCATTTGTAACTCATTAAAATTTAGATATAATCATTTGAACTGATGCACAAATAAATTTCAGGGAGGTAAGAAAAAAAGTCCCACCTCAACTTTTTAAAATAGTTTTTTTTCCCAAAATACAACTTTTTGGTTGTACAAATATTCAATTTATTAGCAATGATTCACACAAATATCCTCTTCATTTTTCTCAGAGGAGGAAAATCTTTGACTTGATTTTAAAAGTAAGAAAAATGTTTTTAAAAATATAAATATGTAAATATATAAAGACTAAAAATATGATTTAAAGATTTCCATATTAAAAAAGTTAATTTGCATATTGAATATCTAATGTACAAGGAAAATACACAAGCAACTTAAATTTCAAATTAGAGATTGAAGTAAAGGAATCAGTACAATATTTTGGCAAATATGAACCTTTGTGCCTGCAAAAAAAAAAAAAATGAAAAGGAGAGATTTTTCCCTTGACATCACTATTATTTTAACTACCTTCACTCTTCAGCAATATTTATTGTTTTAAAAAGCAATTATTAGAATTGTCATAAAACCTAAACCTATGATGAAAGTGAATTTATACATTTTTTTTGTTCTTGAGAATTTACAACAAAAATAATAAAAGCTGATTATTTATTATATTGTTTATTGGAATGGTTGGCAAAACATTGATTCAAATTTTATAAAATGGCCAATAATAAGGATTTACTTATAGTAATAATTTACTAAATGTTTATAAATTTATGAACAAAAAATTGTTTTCATATTTATTTCTTTATAAATTGGGAAATGCTAAATATTACATAGCATTATACTTAATGCAATTGTATTAGTTTTTAGAATTTTGTAAATATAAAATTATTCCTGTAAGTAAACAATCTAATAAATAATGTTTAAATACTCAAGAATTAAGAAAATGTATAAATTCAATTTCATCATATGTTTAAGTTTTATGACAATTCTAAACATAACTTTTTAAAAACAATAAACATTACTGAGGAGTGAAGATAATTAAAAGTGGTGTAATGGGAAAAATCTCTCCTTTTGACACTTTGGTGTTTTTGCAGGCACAAAAGTCCATGTTTGCCATTTTTCTTGTTTTTAAATCAATTCAAAGATTCACCCACTAATGGCAAACACTTAAAAACAATTACATATCAAATAATTGCATTATATTACATGACCCATAAAGAGTTAGTGTATTTGCATATACACCTACTCCTCATAACTTACCTGTTTAACAACCTCCCCGCCCCGTAGACCTAGACTTATGACCCATTATAAAATCTCAAAATAAAAATAAGATTTTTAAAAACCCAACCAACTGGTATTATGCATAGTATGAAAACAGTGATCATGATTGTTTTCTTTTTCTTTAAAATGAATAAAGTAAAAAATTTACTTGTATTTACCGTATACAAGGCAAATTAATGTACAGAAACTGCTGCTGGTTTTTGAATTTCTTTATTATGTTTATTATTCAATACACTACTAGTCCTGGGTATGACAATAAACTACATCTGGCAGCAAGACCTCTGATTGGAAGATTAAAGGTTTTGAGGTGCATGGAACCACCTCTTAACTGCTGTTGTTCCCAGGTCCATGCTGACCTGGGCTGGTAGCACCTGTTAGGGTCCCAGCAAATAGTGAACTTCCAAACAAAAACAAAACACTGTGAAAGTATAAAAAATACATTTTTATAGTAAAATTACCAAAAATACATATTTATAGTAAAATTACTCACAATACATTTTACCTGTAGTTAAAGGAATGCCACTGCATTCAAACATTTAGATTTTGACATTAAATAACCCATAGAGATGTTGATACACTGCTAAACAAACCAAACCAATACACTTCTGACCAGTATAAACATTTAGAAATAAATCAGTAATGTTACAAGTGATGCAAAAGTGACATTAAAACAATGTTAAGCTGATTGGCACAAACTCATTACACATGTAGTATGCCTGAAATAGCAGTCAGGTAAAACTTCACATTTAGCAAACAGGTCATTGGAAAGGAACTTACATACACTAAATGTAAAACTATTATGGAAGAGGTAGTATAAAAAAAAACATTTTCATTTGCCTTTATAAATTAAAATTTAATTTCAATAATATAAATAGT